CAGGCGCCCGCCACAACGCCTGGCCATTTTTTGGTTGCAGCCATCATTGTTGTTTGGCGGGCCCAGGCTGGGGATTTGAACCTGCCATCTTAGGTGTACGTGGCTGGCACCTTAGCTGCTTGAGCCTCAGGCGCCGAGCCACCATGCCCGTCTCTTATCCTGAGCTGTGTGCAGCCTCTCCCCCAGAAATTCCACCTGGGCAGAGGATACAGGATCAGCAGGGCTGGGTCATCCATCTCCCCTCACAGCATCAGGGCCTTGGTGCCATGGAACAGCATTCTGGAAGCTCATCTGGCTGTACCAACCAGGGCCTGGGCCTGGCTACAGATGAGAAGGGGCTACCTGCACTGGGCAGGGGCAGGGCCAGCCCAGGACAGGTACCCCCTCCTTCATCTCTGCCCTGCTAATACCTCTTCCAAACCTCTGCACCTGCTAACAGGTGGCTGCATCGCCTGCCGGGAAAGCCCAGCAAGCTGCCTCCAGCCCTGGCAAAGACCAGAAGAGATAGTGGGACCAAAGCAGGGCCAGCACTAGTGGCAGGTACCCCAGGAAGGAGGCAAGCCTCGGCCGCCCATAAGCCCCTGCCCTCCCTTCCACCTGTGGCCATCTCAGCCTCCCTGTGAGGCCCCTAGCCTTCCCCAAGGAAGAGCTCAGGGCCCTCTCTGAGGCCTGTGGGGAACCAAGGCTCAGAACACAGCCTCGGTGGTCACAGCCAGACTGCCCCTGCCTAGCCCTCACCCAATCAGAACCCAGACAGGGCATCAGGTTCCTTCCACTCCACCACCTCTGTGCAGCTAAATTTGGTTTTCACAAGCTCCCCTGGGGAGCAAGGCCGGGCAGGCTCCAGGCACTGAGCCACCTCCCTGGGACGCTTAAAGGGCTAAGACTGCCTCCCAGGCTCCACCTGGTAAGGAGGGCTTGACTCTGCGGGGCAGGTTTAGGGAGCTCATCACACCACACAGCACACACAGCTGCAAGGAGGGGAAACTCACATCCTAACAGCCAGCACCCCCAGCCTGGCAGGCAGGCCCCATCTCACGGCCTTAAAGGGAGGGATGGGGCAAAGAGGTCGGCACACAGCTGGCCACAGGCAGAGCTGGGCCCAGATCAAACCAACTCCTGACCGCTCCATGGGGTACCCCCTAAAGGACGGAATGACTGACTTGAGGTTCACAACAAAGCAAAACCTTTACAAAGGAGAACAAAATCCACACCTTCTCTATCTCTGGATGGTAAGCCTGAGGGCCCTGGGGACAAAACTGGCACCAGCAAGCTGAACTGCTGCCCCATATGTGCATGTACGGTGGCACCAGAGCCAGGAATGCCAGGCAGCAAGGCACGGGCGTCTGGGCACGTAGGAGGCTGCCCCACCCTGGGGCAGTAAGGTGCTTTACTTAATAGGATCCAGCTCCCCACCCTCAGCCAGCCCCACTCCTGTCTGGTGATCCTGGGCTGGGCCTGGTGGGCAGGCGCTGACCTAGTTAACTCCTCCAGAGCTGTCTTTCTTGGCTCTAGAAGGTAGCAAAAGCCACAGTCATGGCCTGGACAGAACGGCTCCCCACACCCAGGCTGGATTCTATTGGACAACTCCCAAAAGGGAAAGGCTGCAGGACTTACCCTGAGCAGGAAGACCCACCCTTCTGTCTGGGCAGCCACCTACAGCCACCCATTGTGTGCTGGTTCCGTGGGACCTCACCAGCCCTCCTTCCCTGACCTGGGGGTCTAGACTATCTGTGCACTCAGCAGCAGGGGTCTGAGGCAGGTCCCTGGGGCCAGCACCCAGCACTATTCAACAATGGGCGTGGGCCCCCAGGACCCTCCAAGGGCATGACGCTGCTTGGGAAAAGGGAACACATCCAGTGCAGGGGGCAGGTGTGTGGAGGAACCCCTCACGGAGGTACAAACTACACATTCCTCCAAAGACCCACCCTGTCCATCAGCCCAGCCAAGCACCCCCTCCATCCAGAGAGGGATACTTATGCCAGGGAACAGTCCCACCATGGGACACCACACAGCAATGAACAGGCAACATCGGCTCAGGTGCCTGTGGCTCAAGTGGCTAAGGCGCCAGCCATGTACACCTAAGGTGGTGGGTTCGAATTCAGCCCTGGCCCGCCAAACAACAATGATGAGATGGCTGCAACCAAAAAACAGCCAGGCATTGTGGCGGGTGCCTGTAGTTCCAGCTACTTGGGAGGCTGAGGCAGGAGACTCGCTTGAGCCCAGGAGTTAGAGGTTGCTGTGAGCTGTGATGCCATGGCACTCTACCTAGGGGGATAGCTTGAGACTCTGTCTCGAAAAAAAAAAAAAACAGGCAACACCTACCAAACACAGAAAAACAGCCACAAACGTAAGCTTGCTTGAGATTCCACTGCTAGGCTTAAAGACAAGTAAATGAGGCTGTGGGTGTCAGGAGCAGGCTCAGACAGAAACGGAAAAGAGTGGGGAGAATGACTACAAGATGAGGGCTGGGCTCCCTTGGATGGGAGAGAATCCAGCAATCAGGGGATGCAGGATGCACTCTACCGCATAGACACTGCTCCAGTAAGCATTTTCCCATCTATGTTTTGCTCTTTCCAATATGTTAATTTTATTCTATAATTTAAAAAGTTTAAAAAACTCCCGAAGATTAATAAAAAAAACACATGTGGGTAGCACCTGTGGCTCAGTGAGTAGGGCACTGGCCCCATATACCGAGGGTGGTGGATTCAAACCCGGCCCTGGCTAAACTACAACCAAAAAATAGCTGGGCATTGTGGCGGGCGCCTGTAGTCCCAGCT